TTTAATTCCAAGGAAAACACAGCAAGACGTGGCAGGTATCACACTCACCTCTACTCTTAAGTTGTTTGGACCTGACTACTTAAAATGCAATGGACAGTTAGGTATTTCGTTTGACCTATGGGCACCATGAAAAAAAAATACCGAAGATCATAGAGCATTATGAACTAATAGAGTTTGTTCGACCCTATGTCCTAAGCATTGCTTTCCAAGGTTTTGCTACGGTTTAGTTGGGAAACTGGAGGTTAGATTAACCCAGGGAATGATTCCAATATCTGGTAACTCATCCATCCTCTGTCTCAGTAGTGTTTGAGAAACTACATATCCGGCTAATGATGTGTTCTTTTTTAGAGGAGGAAAAAAAAGAACATTTATTTTCTACCAACAAGAGCCCCCAGAGGATGCATCCACAGAGGTCACCCTGAGACTATTCAGCCTGGGAGAAAAGCCATCTGGCTTAGAATCTGATAGGAAGTGAAAGGCAACATATTATGTCAGTGTGGATTCCCAGTAAGACAGGGACAAAAGAGCAGCATACATTATTACATGCTATGAGGATCTTAATACAGCGATGAAGACCAGGGAAAATGACAGAACTAGATCATTCCAACCCCCACTTGGCGTCTCAGATTGTGGCTTTGGTATATTTAGAGTTTTAAAGTTGGAATGCAAGTATTAACTCCTTTCATTCGAGTCAAAACAGTCTTCGAACATGTGGAGCCCTGCTTAAAAAGAATGTTCTCCGACCCTGAAAAGCTAGATATGGTCTCCACCTAAAGGAAGCAGTGCTCCTTGAAGAAATGGCTGATTCCGGGTCTGGGATTATAAATGGACAAGATGAGCATCAAGGATCCTGTCAACCAGACAGCCAAGCAGCCATGGTTCTGTCAAAAGATCTGGGGGCCGACCTGAAGAGGCTCCCACTGCCCAAAAATAGTACAATTTGAGCATCAATAAGGATATTAACTAAAATGTACTAGCTTTTTTAGAGAAAGCTTTTATTTTCCCTTTGAAAGTCTCAAAAGGGTATGGAATAATACGTTAAGGTTTTCTTTAGGCTTACTGGTAAAATATATCAAGATAGTTTTCTTTTTTTAAAGATTTTATTTATTTATTTGACAGAGAGAGAGATTACAAGTAGGCAGAGAGGCAGGCAGAAAGACGGGGGAAGCAGGTTCCCTGAGAGCAGAGAGCCGGATGTGGGGCTCGATCCCAGGACCCTGAGATCATGACCTGAGCCGAAGGTAGAGGTTTAACACACTGAGCCACCCAGGCACCCCAAGATAGTTTACTTTTCAATTGGACACCCCCAGCTCTTCTCCTAATAGACCTCTTTTCATGACTTCATGTGTTACATAAAAACAAATAAGCAAACAAAAAAACCTTCAGTGGTCACCATTAGAGAATGACAGACCAACTCGCCATTGGGACAACTGATAAATAACAAAACCAAGTATATTCACCCAGGTCACAAGTACCACTGGGTAAGCAAATCACGTATGAGGGCAAGTTTCTCTTTATAGAAATATTCCAGCTAATGAATGAACAAGGAGTGATGGCATGTAATTATTATTGCAAACCCTAATGAATCACTGAATCCAGGTGTTAGATATTCATGGCTGCTGACATCCCAAGACAGAATCAGCCAGACATTATCTGCCTCTTGCTGGAAGAACAAATGATCAATTATAAAGTAATATTGCAGCAAAAAAAAAGGGGGGTGGGGGAGGGGTGGTGGTGGATAGGAGTATGGGAAGCCTCCAGATCCAAGCGCTGATCTACTGGGAATACAGAGGACTACATTTCAGGCAGTCAGACAAATGTAGTCTGTAGACAAACTAGTTTCCGTAACAAAATACAGATCTTAAAATACAGATTGACCCATAGCTCCTATTTAAAATAAACCACTAGGGACGCCTGGGTGGCTCAGTTGGTTAAGCGGCTGCCTTCGGCTCAGGTCATGATCCCAGCATCCTGGGATCGAGTCCCACATCGGGCTCCTTGCTCGGCAGGGAGCCTGCTTCTCCCTCTGCCTCTGCCTGCCTCTCTGTCTGCCTGTGCTTGCTCGCTCTCTCCCCCCCTGTCTCTGACAAATAAATAAATAAAATCTTTAAAAAAAAATAAAATAAAATAAACCACTAGAGGGGCGCCTGGGTGGCTCAGTGGGTTAAAGCCTCTGCATTCGGCTTGGGTCATGATTCCAGGGTCCTGGGATCGAGCCCCACATCGGGCTCTCTGCTCAGCAGGGAGCCTGCTTTCTCCGCACTCTCTGCCTGCCTGTCTACTTGTGATCTCCGTCTGTCAAATAAACAAACTCTTTTAAATAAATAAATAAATAAATAAATAAAAATAAACTAAACCATTAGAAAAACATGTATGAGACAGCTGGAAATATGAGCACTTAATGGATATCTTATGCTATTAAGGAATTATTATGTTAGGTATAATAAGGACTCCTTTAAAAAAAATAAAGCACAACATCATTATCTTTTTTTTTTTTTTTTAATCTTTCAAAATACTGTCAGAAGAGCTGAGATTCGGGTGGTATATTTAGCCTACATTTTGGAGTAGATTACAACCTACTTATGAGAAATAATCTCTCTTCCCCAGGAATACGCTTCTTTAAGAAACACACACACACACACACACACACACAGAGAAAAAGAAAGGTTCACTGGGAACTTTGAGAGTAGAAACATTATCAGCAACTCAGTTTCTGGTCTTAAAAATGTCAAGTTGGTAGAGCATGATGACCAAGAAGATAATGACCAGTAACCACTGCTGAACAATTCCCCAGCCCCTCCTGTCAACACACCAGGAAACCATCACAGTTGGCTTGAGTCTATGGTCCCAAATTCTAGTGATTCCAAATCACCTGCAACCTGGAAGCTTTTCTGAAGAAAAAAGTCTATTATTAGAGGAGCTAGGGAAGTCCAGTTGAAAAGTGTAACTATTTTGAGTTTATGTTAGTTTGAATAAAACCTCCCTGTTATTCCACGTCTAATTCTGAATCTTTCAATCAGAGAAAATAGAAGCTTCCTCTAAAAAGCCAAGTTGGATGCATTTTAAGGATTTACTCATGGTTCTTAAATTCTCTCAGCACCCCAATTCCCACAAATTTCAGAGTATCCTTGGATCTGGAGGTCTATCTATACAACTCTTACCTTTTCAGCCCTTCTACCTGGCTTCCGTTAAAAATACACATGACCCGTGGCGCCTGGGTGGCTCAGTGGGTTAAGCCGCTGCTTTCGGCTCAGGTCATGGTCTCAGGGTCCTGGGATCGAGTCCCGCATCGGGCTCTCTGCTCAGCAGGGAGCCTGCTTCCCTCTCTCTCTCTCTGCCTGCCTCTCTGCCTACTTGTGATCTCTGTCAAAAAAATGAATAAAATCTTTAAAAAAAAAAAAAATACACATGACCCTTCAGAAAGCCGTGAGCAAACCGCCCCCAACAGCGCACTAACACTAACGTGTGAGGCACAGGCATTATCGTCCCTGCGACACTTCTCAAGGCTCACAACTGCAACATTCAGGTGACATTCTGATGCATCTTTACTGTTTAGCAACTCTCTTGATTCCTCAGACTCAAAAACCTCAAACTTGGTTTAGATTTCTCGTTACATCAGCAGGACAATAAATGTACCCTGGGATTTCTTGTTTAAGAAAAAAGGCAGAAAGAAAGAACTTACAGGTAACTAAATATCCAGAAACTCAGAATGAAGGAAAACGTTCCTTAAGCCAGTAATTTTACCAAAATTGTGATCATTACAAACAGCTATTTCTTTAAAGAGACTTACTGACCAAGAGGAATTCTTTAAAGGGTTGAAGGAAAACATGTGTTTACTGTGATCAGAACACAGGATTCTACAGAACCAACACCCCCACCCCAAGAGCCACCTCAGTGTCTGACACGCTGGGCTTTGTGCACCTGGTGGTGGCAGAGCCTATTCTTAAACCACTGCTCAAACACATGCAAGTCAACTCAGGACGTGCTGGGTGAACATGAAGAACTATTCACGTGCAGCATGCTTTCTCTCAGAAATTCCACAATGTTCTCAGTGTATCACCTGATACACATGTGTATGTAATAAAAGGAACGAAACTGTTTTATTCCCATTTTATATACAGAGAAATCAAGTCAGGGACAGGTTAAATTATTTCAGTGAGGTCACAGAGTGACTCACCACAATTTAAAAAACAGAACAAATATGTAAAACTCTGCTCTGGTTTAGACTTAACACGCCCTTGCTATTTACCCTTCCATGCGTGCTGTCCGTTCTATATCCCCTCCAATCCTGAACAGTAGGAGCCATCCCGCACGCTCATGTCATTTTTCCATTAACCACTCCTTGAGCACCTACTTGTTCCAAGCACTGTATCAGGCACCGTGCTGAACACAAAGATGATGGGACACGAAGAGGTTAATACCTAGAGGACTTATACTTTTCTTATGAGCCAGACAGTTTAAGATAATCTATATAAGGGACAAATGACTTTGAGGACTCTTCCAGTAAAGACATGTTTTCCATAATCATATTAAATAGATTTAAAAATTTTAAGTATGAACAACTAAGAACAGAGCAAAACTTAAAAATGTAGCATCCTCTGCTATTCTCATTTCTCTAGCTCTACAACCACATTTCTGGGTTCCAATTCACATGTCAAGTCAGACAGCAGTCATACTAAGCCGAACTGGTATCTAGAGTTTTATACCCTGGCTTAGTAATCGGGTTTGAGATACATAAATATGGGGAAAGTACATGTATTATCCATCTGTAATATTTTTAAAAATAAGCCAGAACTTATTTAAATAAAATACATGAGCTATCTACATTTTAAGATCCTCTAAGGAAAATAAAACACATTTCATTCCACAATCTTTTGACTAAGCAGCTCATTTAAGTCTGTTTCAACAATGTAAAAATAGAGCAAACACACTAGAAGCATCTAGAAGCCGTCATACAGTAGATGCGTGGAGATCTCCACGTTTAATGACTTCATACCTACCGTAGTGTCATTGCTGGTAACATAAACCAGGACATCAGAGGAGTTCCTGCCATTGATATACCGGTAGCAGTTCCAGACACAGCTAATCAAGTAACCCTGTAAGTGAGCAGTGATTATTAGGTCTCTGATTTCCAAACTTCAGACAATTTTCAGTCCCCCCACACAGAAAACCGTATTACAGAACTTTTATTTACTAACTTTTAAGTGCACATAGTAACTCTACTAAATCAAGAACTCTTTACAATTACAAATGTTTGGTATGTAACTTTCTGGTAGCTTATTCTATCACAGCAGCCCTCCCCCAAGATGGTAGGCGGTGGTGGAGGGGACAAGGGAGAGCAGGAGAAAAATGTAGCTGGAAGGCACAGTTGCCACGAACACTTGCTGCCCTCAATGTCACAGATCAATCCACGTGTTAACCCATTTTTCATCACTTTTTTTTTTAGAAGATTTTTTATTTATTTATTTGACAGAGATCACAATTAGATGGAGAGGCAGGCAGAGAGAGAGAGAGGGAAGCAGGCTCCCTGCTGAGCAGAGAGCCCGATGCGGAACTTGATCCCAAGACTCTGAGATCATGACCTGAGCTAAAGGCAGCGGCTCAACCCACTGAGCCACCCAGGCGCCCCTCATCACATTGTTTTTTTAAGATTTATTTATTTATTTGACAGAGAGACCACAAGTAGGCAGAGAGGCGGGCAGAGAGAGAGAGAGGGAAGCAGGCTCCCCACTGAGCAGAGAGCCCAATGCGGGGCTCGATCCTAGGACCCTGAGATTATGACCTTAGCCGAAGGCAGAGGCTTTAACCCACTGAGCCACCCAGGCGCTCCTCTCATCATATTTTTAATCTCCGTTTTCAGAATTTTTATTCTACATGATTATATATGATGAAACTAATCACATTCAAGTTAGTTTTTAGAAAAAACATTCACAGCATATAAATTTGCTTTGTGGTCAATAGAGGATACTAAATGATCTCCATCTTCATACTAAAATATCCAGAGAAGACCAATAAAATCAATGCCCAGAATAAAGCCAAGGATAAAGCACAAGTTCATGAGAGACATGCAGACTATGAGCCTCTTGCCCTTCCACTCTGAGCACCTAGGAGTGGATTAGAATTAGAGGACATCAAAATCCCTTTCCTACTTTACACTTTTTTGATCAAAAAACGTAAAGATGTGGAGAAATTGGAACCCTCGTTCACTGTGGGTGGCAATGTGAAACGATGCAGATGCTTTGGAGAACAGTCTGGTGGCTCCTCAAAGGGTTAAAGAGTGACCATATGACCCAGCAGTTCCACTCCTCTGTGTATGCCCATGAGAAAGGAAACATGTGCCCACACACACTATTGTACACGAATGCTCAAGCAGCGGTATTCCTAAGAGCCAGAGTGGGGAAGTGACGGCAACGTCCATCAACTGATGATCAGCTAGACAAAATGTGGTATATTCATGGGGTGGATACGTTCAGCCGTAAAAAGGAAAGAAATCCTGATACACAACATGGACGAACCCTGAAAATATGCTAAGTCAAAGCAAGTCAGTCCCAGAGGACCACATACTGTGTAGTTCTATTTATTTATTTATTTAAAGATTTTATTTATTTATTTATTTATTTGACAGAGAGACAGTGAGAGACAGCATGAGAGAAGGTCAGAGGGAGAAGCAGACTCCCCAGGGAGCAGGGAGCCCGATGTGGGACTCGATCCCAGGACTCCGGGATCATGACCTGAGCTGAAGGGAGTCGCCTAACCAACTGAGCCACCCTGGCACCCTGTATAGTTCTATTTATATGAAATGTCCCTAACAGACAAATCTATAGAGAGAGAAAGTCGATTAGTAGTTGTCAGGCATTGGGGATCTGGGGGTGATGAGGATGAGGGATAATGGCAGATCATGAAAATGTCCTCAAGTTACCCTGTTTACCACAGAGCTGGGTTCACACAACTCCGTGAATATACTAAAAACCATTGAATTGTACCCTTTAAATGGGTAAACTTTATGATTTATGAATTACATCGCAACAAAGTTGTTCTGTAACAAAAAAGATGTTAAAGGACAAAAGGAATGCCTGTCAACATTTCTTGACATTTCTTGGAAGACTGAGGTAAAATAATCCGTTGTATACTCAGAATGCTGTCTCAGGCTGCACTCATCCTTGATGGTGGTTATTTCTCATATTTAAATACTCTGTGATGATGTGAAGATGAAAATGTGTAAAATGGTACTTTATGAAATGTTTCTGGACAGCAATAATCCTAAACCGGGTATCAGCAATGACGAAAAGAGACAGGAAGGGCGTTATTTCTTGAACGATGCACATAATATGTTCATTTTACTCAAACCTTCAGTTTACTCAATGCCGTCGTTCCTTTAGTGAGAAAACAAGAGCCTTAGACTTTCTGAGAACTTCAGTACAAACGAAAACAAATGTTTGCATGTACTCATTATGTGTTCTGTGAGAAGACTACAGGCATCCATGATTTTAGCAGTGAGCAGTAGCTACTCTTTGAGGCCAGGTGAGACCTCTGCAGTTGACATGTCTACAACGCAAGTGTTAAACGGCAGAGGGGAGGCACCTGGGGGCAGAGGCTTCACAAGCCCAGCCAGCATTCTCAAGGGTTCCCGACACCACCATGTGCATTCGCTTACTCATCACGGCAAGGGGGGGAGAAACCCTCTCGCCTATTGTCTCTAAAAACCCAGTAACTTACATCAATGACCTTCTTTCTTTCTTGACATTTCTGTCCTCTTACTCCATTTCAAGAGAATTAAATATTTAGTATGTTTCCCAAATAAACATGCAGTGACAAATCATCTTTTGGTTTGGGCTCCTAAGGAACCCGTGTGGTGATAAACTTTATCAAACAGCACCTGGGAGGGACGCCTGGGTGGCTCAGTTGGTTAAGCAGCTGCCTTCGGCTCAGGTCGTGATCCCAGCGTCCTTGGATCGAGTCCCACATCGGGCTCCTTGCTCTGCAGGGAGCCTGCTTCTCCCTCTGCCTCTGCCTGCCATTCTGTCTGCCTGTGCTCGCTCTCTCTCCCTCTCTCTCTGACAAATAAATAAAATCTTTAAAAAAAAAAAAAAAAACCAGTACCCGGGAATTTAGGTCACAAGACCCACTAATCAGGTAAACTGATACATGCAATCACCGCATGTAGACTCATTTATTTAAATGAATAATCACCAAGTCTCTAAGTGCAAGGCATCGGCATAACGCTAGGACGATGGTAAAACTTAAGGCACAGTCTACCTTCTCAAGGAAATGCAGTCTGGTTAGTAAGCAGGTATTAAGTGACGAACTACTGAGACAAGGGCGCATCTCCTACAGGCTAGAGATAGGGCTGTATTGTACCTTTCATTCGATCATTATAATTAAGTGTTTTGCAATTTATTATAAAAGCACCACGGGGCAGACACTGTTCTTACTCACAACCTAACCCTAGTACCTAGAACAGGGCCTGGCACATGGGAGACCCTTAATAAATATTTATTGAAAAAAAAAAAAATGAATGCTGCATCTTCTCAACCACTAGTACACTCAAACTTCACAGTCACCCCCACAGCATGTTTTCTTAACCATTACTGCTGGTTATTAAATGAAAAAAACCAAGGCTCTGGCCACACGGACAGAAACAGCAATGAGAGAAGTGAACTCTGACTCAACATCTCAAGGTAAAGCATTTCAAAGACAAAGGAAAACACCTACAAAGTTAAAATGCCTCCAAGAGCACTAGGAGGTTCTGGCTTCTGCGCTGGTAATGGCAGAAAGTAGTGTGGTCAACCAACCTTCCCACATGTAAAAATGGTAAAATCTGCAATAAGATATACACGCAATTTGAAAGCATGAGGGAGGGACCAAAACAAGCAGAAATTAAAGAAAAGTCTGCCTTTAAAAAAAAAAAAAAAAAAAAAAAAAAGTTGCCTTTAAAAAAAAAAAAAAAAAAAAAAAAAAGTCTGCCTTTGGAAGACAAATTGTCAGGAACAGGGGTTTGAGAGTTTGCGACCTTTTGCCAGGTAGGGCAAGGGACCGTATTCAGGGCCCACAGAGAAGCCAGAAGGTTGGGGTGAGGAGAGCGAACTGGAGGGGCAGGAAGCCTCAATATGCACGTATAAAATCCGCCCCCATCCCGAGCACTGAGCAACACAGTAGGAACGCGTTCAGTTCATGGGGAAAATGCTGACTCAGACGACTCCCAATGGATCATCGTTTTACTCCTCTTCCTATTATCTGCTTCAAAAGACTATTCTCTCTAAATGCAGCTTCTTTGAGCTTATCGAAGCTTGGCTGTTTAAGAACTGGGTAATTTTAGGCCAACATAAAGACAACAAAAGATGTTAGGAATTAAAAGTTCAAAGTATAGTAATGATTTAGAAACTTTCTACTTCGCAGCAGCACACAAGCACCAAGTGCAGTGTTGTTTTTATCATCAGGTTCACAGAGATGAAAAAGAGGAGGCAGCACTTAACTGCTGAGGGCGTAGCAAACAGTGCTCTTGGGGTGCTGGTCACCTCATCTTGGGGGGAGCCGTCAGACACCCCAAAAGAAGCCCTCCAATTATGCACACCCTCTAATTTTAAGAAATGTTGTCTGGAAGAAATACCTGCATGAGTATATGAAAGATGTCGTAAAAAAAATAATAGCACTATTGAGTGAAAAAGCAGAAACCGTCTTGATGTCCAAAAATAAGTAATTTATTAAATATTGATAAATTCATATACCAGATTGCGAGAGAACACTGTTAAGACTATATTACATTGTAGGGGCCCCTGGGCGGCTCAGTGGGTTAAAGCCTCTGCTTTCGGCTCAGGTCATGAACCCAGGGTCCTGGGATCGAGCCCCGCATAGGGCTCTCTGCTCAGCAAGGAGCTTGCTTTCCTTCCTCTTTGCCTGCCTCTTTGCCTACCTGTGATCTCTGTCAAATAAATTAAAAAAAAAAAAAAAGACTATATTACATTGTAAAAACAAATTACAGAACAATGTGCACACATTGTAACGGCAATTGCAGTATCCAACTCACTACCTAAGGTGGTGAATGTATTCCCCTCCAAATGGATTTTGGAGTAACCCTTGGTTGGCAGGAACGTGGCTACTATTTCTCTCTCACACAGGTAAGAGAAGAAATGAACTGTTAGGCAATCAAAAGGCAGTTCAGAAATCTAAAGCAACATGAAGAACTAACAAAAGTTTGCTTACTTTCTTAGCATTCATGAATACACTTAACAGTATCTAGGCTGTAAGTAAAATCTTCACGCTTACCTTGAAAGTCAAGATAATGCTGATGAACAGAAGAATAATAAGGACCAAACAGGTAGGATTCACGGACATGATATCATCTCTGTAGGGAAAATTCGGAGGCTGCAAATAAAAAGTGCCTTGTTAACAAATTTCATTAATCATTCCAGATTAGACCCCTTAGGCATTAACCAGATATGCTTATTAAAAAGCAATCAGTTAAAGCAGACCGTTATTATTTAAGGCCACTACACACTTCCTAGCCCACTTCTAATGAAACAGTGACAGTGTGTAGAGAAAGGCCAGTGTGCTCGTAATTCCACAGTAACTTGTGAAAGGTCAAGTCAGAGAAGATTCGCGAGGCTTGGAAATGTAACTGTGCCCTCCTTACTGCACAGAAAGCCAGAAGTCAGTAGTTCTCCATCCGCCTGTGACACTGAGATTCACTGCAAATGGGGGACCACACTAAGGGGCTTACACAAGGCAAGGAGGGAAAACCTAATAAAATAGTCTTATTCATACAGAGCATTTTTTTGCTGATGTTACTTCTCAAGGAGCAGAATCTTTTACACTAGTAGGTATTTATAGCATTTTAAAAAAAAGAAAGAAAGAAGATCAAGTCCTACCATCTGGCCATATTGATTAACTATCAGGTCAAAGGAAACTTCTAAGGAGGCTCCGAACCGGCTCCTGTGGTCGGGTGTGGCCGGACAGCCCGCTGGAAGCCCTCCACGTCCCCGGCCTGGAGCATGGTGCATGGACAGCACCCCCAGCTGCCACATCCCCCTAAACTCTTCCTCATCATCCAATCCACGGCTTTGGACTCCACATTAGCAGTATTTTGAGATGTAACAAAGAGGTTCCAAATGTTAAAAAGGAGAATGGAAAGAAACTTCTCCTCCCCTCGGTCAACATCACCTAATGGTTTTCAATCTCCACTTACTTTGGGCCAAAACCCCAAAAGATAAAATCGGAGTCATTCTTTGTGATCAGCTCATGGGACTGGTCCTTCCCTTTACAGACTGGAAGGGTTTGCGTACTGCTAATCTTACAGGAAAGAATAAAACAACTTGGTGTCAACTTGGTGTCAATTCCTAAGATCAACACAAACCATACGGTTTCTGTGTCTAATTTAGAAAAAAGGATTAAAGTGGACGTACGTGGCTCGTTCCACAAAGACCTCCACAATCCCTCCCTCAGAAAAGTGAACACAGTTTCTACGTCAAGAGCTGGAGAACAGAGGCGCAATTTATTTTAACTGCATTTTACAAGACCACGCATGAGAATAGGCGTTCGTGTGAAGGGGTGCTCTCCCCCCACCTCAGGTAAGCGTCCCTTCAGACACGGCGGCCTGTCCGTGGGCCTCGCTGTCCACGCAGCTTTATCTTCATCCTTAGGCAGCCTCATCATCCGTGGGCCTCACGCCTTCAGCTCAAACTGCTTTTAAAGTAGAACATACTGAAGACATTCACTTGGATGATTTGGTTTGTAATTACAAATAAAAGATGGTGATTTTATTTCATTTTGTACTCCCTGTGCTTACTATCAGCATCACCAACATCACTTTACCACCGGGGGCTCTAAAGCAAATGAGTATGAAGTGACTGAGCAGCGTGGGGTATGGCAGAAAGTCGAGGTAGCCATCGGAGTGTTCTCAAGGCTCGCCTGCATGTTCCATGCTTTCTGCTTCTTCTAAGTCTCCGCAATACATAGATGGAGCAAACAACACACACTTCGAGGGATCACAAGGTCGCCACAGGGCTTTTCTTGGCGTCTCCTAACTTGGCACCACCCTTTCCTGGCCCCTCATGTGACAGGCTATGGGGAGGTCATGTTTCCTCCACATGTCCAAGGTTGATTGGAGGAGCCCGGCACTGGGTCATCATTACAGAATAAAGACACAAGTCCTTAAAGACTGAGGTCATTCTCCTAACTGCTCGTCACATAGAAACCCTCTCAGGCAGAAACACTCCAGCTCTACCATAAGAGAGAATATAGAGTAGCACACGGGAAATACACAATATTTTCTCCTCGACACTATAGGATACCAAAACACAGACCTGTTTTCTAAAGCAAAGGGAAGCTATTGCTAACAGCTTAAGAATGACAATCACAACAGCAGTGGCAACAGAACACTTTTAAGGAGCAAAAAACACTAGAGGCTTTTCATTCCGCTCTTCTAGGTCTGCTGAGTACTGGATATGCAACCTGGGCGTGCCAGCCGTGAGATCACAAACTCCCGCTGCTGCCATTCCTCCCTGCCCTCCCTCCACCCCTCCCCTCTCTCTTTTCCACTGAACTTCCGGCCTCCGCTGTCCTGTCAAATCCCCAGCCTTGAACCTCCTGTCCTAGAAAAACCCTGCTCCGTCCCCCTTGCGCACAAACAATGAAAACCTCCAAAGAGTCAACATTCTCTCCCTTTGAAACATGCTAAGATTTTGAAGAAATTAAATTTTAAGGCACAGTCACAATCTTGATACAAAGGCACAGAGGATTACATTCTCCCCCAGCTTCTGAATACCCAGTTACCCACTTTTGTTCAGATGGTCACAAAGAACATTTAACAGAAAACGAGGCCTAAAGAGATGCTTGAGCAGGAAAGGGGTTCTATGGCCAAATAAGTTTGGGAACCAGTGTACAGTACAGTTCCACTTTCTCCGTACAAGAGCAGAGGCAAAAAAACGATCCTCTGCTGATAACTGAGCAAACTACATTTTTACAAAATTAAGAATTAGTAAGTAGTTTATAATTTGCGTAGGTACATCTAATACAGTCATTGCAGCCCCCCTCTTATCAACCTCAAGAAGTTATGTTGTTCCAAAAAGCATTCTAAGAAACCAGAAACCTAAAAGGTAACACTCAAAAATCTCTAATCAGTAACTCAGATTCAAGTGGAAAAACCCAAAAATTTGTGTGTGTGTGTGTGTGTGTATATACACACAACCAGATCCTGAAGGGAACAGTGATGGGGATGGCCACATACCAGCTGTCGTATGTATTCCTGAATGGAGTTTGGATAAACCAGCACAGTGACGGCAACCAAGGTGTTGAGGGCGAAATCAAAGATCTGGTAACAGAAGAACGGGATGATCCAGGCAGCACGTTGCTAAATATGAGAGAAAATATGATGCTGTTGCGTTCATTATCATAAAATGTTATTTTTTCCCAACTCAGACAAATTGTTTCTTCCTCTAAAGGGAAGAGGAGGACAAGACATTCAATAAGCCAGGTCCTGAGGACAACTGGTCAACCACACTGAGGAACTTAACCAAAAGGTCTCTATGAACACTTCTGGTTGTCCACAGAATATTAATATGAGACTGAAACTTCAAAGGCTCTTAGAGGAAACTGAGAATCACTTTTTCTTTCTCACAAGTAGCTGCCCAGGCTACAAGGGTAAGGGACCAAGGAGAAGGCCCAGCCCCCAAAGCCGTTTACCTTGTACGCTCCGTAAGTGGCCATGGCACATATTAGGATCATGAGAAGAGAAATTGCGATCGCAATGCACATGTCTGCCAAAGGGTTAGGAAAGAAAGAAGAGAATCAGTAGGAGATCCACTGTTTTCACAGTTTCTGTCTTTCCTCAAAAGCAAAAACAATTATAAGCGAGAATTTAATATTAAGTCAAACACCCAGAGCTCTTCTGGAATTTGAAAAAGTTAAAGTTAATGGATATAAAATGTCCAAAAGGCACTCTCCCTAAATCACGTTAAGTGTCTACAGATAACATGCTGACTTCAACATAAGTTTATTTTGAAAATGGGAAAGAGATATTGGTTACATATGTTAAAAAAAAAAAAAGTTTGGAATTCTGGTTCACTGAGATATGTAATAAATCAGGTAGTTTTGAAACATGAGTGTCTCACTTGTATTTTATAAACTCGTGTTGTCTTGTGCCCTTATTAAAATCCTCCACTGGGTTGGGGGGGGCACCTGGGTGGCTCAGTGGGTTAAAGCCTCTGCCTTCAGCTCAGGTCATGATCCTAGGGTCCTGGGATTGAGCCCCACATTGGGCTCTCTGCTCAGCGGGGAGCCTGCTTCCCTCTCTCTCTCTGCCTGTCTCTCAGCCTACTTGTGATCTCTGTCTGTCAAATAAATAAATAAAATCTTTAAAAAAAAAAAAAAAAATCCTCCACTGGGGGCACTAGGATAGCTCCATCCGTTAGGTGTCTGCCTTCAGCTCAGGTCATGATCCCAGAGTCCTGGGATTGAGTCCCACCTTGGGTTCCTTGATCAGCAGGGAGTCTGCTTCTCCCTCTCCCCTCCTCTCACTTATTCTGTTTCTCTCTCAAATAAATAATATCTTTTAAAAAAAAATTAAGAAAGCCCTCCACTGGCTTCCCATCTCATTTAAAATAAACTATCGGTGCGCCTGGGTGGCTCAGTGGGTTAAGCCGCTGCCTTCGGCTCAGGTCATGATCTCAGGGTCCTGGGATCGAGTCCCACATCGAGCTCTCTGCTCAGCGGGGAGCCTGCTTCCCTCTCTCTCTCTACCTGCCTCTCTACTTGTGATCTCTGTCAAATCAGTAAATAAAATATTAAAAATAAAATAAAATAAAATAAACTATCGATTTCTTATCACAGCCTTTATGTCTGTATTTCTTACTTCCCTTCTTCCTACAATCCAGCCACACCACTTGGTTCCCTAAGTACAACGAGGAGAACATCCCATCATGGGGCCTCGCATCTGCAGTTCCCGCTGACTAGAGGCAACATCACTCACGTTTTCACGGGAGTAGCTCTGCCTTTTTATTTTTATTAAGATTCTATTTACTTGAGGGGGAGAGAGAGTACACACACAAGTGGGGTGGCGGGGAATGGGGCAGAGAGGGAACCCGACGGGGGCTCGATCCCAGGACCCTGAGATCGTGAATGGAGCCCAGGCACCCCTAGCTCTGCCTTTTTAATCATTCAGGCCATAGCTCAGACATCAACATCTCCAACAGCTCTTCCCTGAGTATTCTAGGTAAGGCACCCCTCACACTTCCTCCCGAGTTGGTATTGTATTTTTTTTTTAAACATTTTATTTATTTATTTGACAGAGATCAAAAGTAGGCAGAGAGAGAGAGGGAAGCAGACTTCCCACCTAGCAGAGAGCCCAATGTGGGGCTCGATCCCAAGACCCTGAGATCATGACCTGAGCCCAAGGCAGAGGCTTAACCCACTGAGCCACCGAGGCATCCCAATGTCATATTCTCTTTATAGTACTTATCACTACTATCTTACGTCTGTTGTGTATTATTGTCTGTCTCCCCATGCAAGAACCCTTCCGGGGGGAAAGAACTCTCTGTATCTTGTTTACTCCTACAACTCAACACACAGAAGGGGACAGATGCCCACCATAGTGGCCACTAGCCACAGGGAGGCACTGAGCACTTGCAGCAGGCTCAATCTGAATTAAGATGTGCTGTAAAATTAAAATGTACTCCAGAATTCCAGGTCCTGATTTAAAAAAGAAAAAAAGTGAAGTATCTTATTAATAATTTTTGTATGATTACATGCTAAAATATTTTGGATATACAGAGCTAAGATAAATTTATTGAAGTTAATTTCACCTGTGTTTTTAAATGCGGCTGCTAGGAAATTTTAAATTCCATTATGTGTTTGCGCTCTATTTCTATCTAACAATGCTGATCTGGAACAATGCCTGCTAACACAGCAGAGACTAAGCGAACATTTATTCAAGAGGTCATGTTACTGTTATCTTTAGGGATTCAGATGACGACACATGACTGGGGTTCCCGTGTGGGGTGCTCACAAAAACCCACGCTGTAAACATCTGTATGGTGCTGACAGTGGCCAAGGCACTTCACAGACACCTCTTTTAGTACTCCTCACTCTGAAGCAGACCTGTTCCCACCGAGCACACTGCACAACCAGGCTCGGAGCGTATGTGACTTGCTGAGACAGTATTTGCATCAAAAGGCCGAACTTGACTAATCTTCACTCGCTGGATCTCAGATCTTTGCCTCTTTCTGCTAAGACTCTGCGGCTTCTACTTCAGCTCTGAATGCTGACCAATGATCTAACCTGGCCTGTCACTTCCTACAGGTATTTCTCCAAAGGAAAACATTCCACTTCTAGAACCTTCCTCTCTGTATCCTCAGCTTTAGAGATGAGAGGACATTTTAAGTAGGAGGTCTACATAAAATGCAGATATATCAAAAAAGACCATTCGCCATCTTAAGGAAAAAAAACAACTCGAAGGCTCCTGAGATTAATCTACAGATTTAGTGCAATAAATTCATAATGATGCTGGTCACTTTAATTAAAGGAATGAAAATTGGGGCACCTGGGGTGGCTCAGTGGTTAAAGCCTCTGCCTTTGGCTCAGGTCATGATTCTAGGGTCCTGGGATCGAGCCCCACATGGAGCTCTCTGCTCAGCAGGGAGCCTGCTTCCTCCTCTCTCTCTGCCTGCCTCTCTACCTACTTGTAACCTCGGTCTGTCAAATAAATAAATAAATAAATCTTTAAAAAAAAAAAAAAAAAAGGAATGAAAATCTAATTCTCAAATAAGAAAAAAAAAAAAAAAATCACTCAGAGAGTGATTAGCCCTAGCCAGTACTTGAAAGATCATAGTTTCTGCGGTGTCTGGGTGGCTCAGTGGGTTGAGCCTCTGCCTTCGGCTCAGGTCATGATCCCAGGGTCCTGGGATGGAGCCCCACGGCAGGCTCCCTGTTCTGCGAACAGTCTGCTTCTCCCTCTCTTTCTGCCCCTCTCCCCCTCTCGTGTTCTCTCTCACTTCCACTCTTTCTCTCTCAAGGAAATAAATAAAATCTTTAAAAAAAAAAAAAAGAGGACATGATTTCTTTCAGAATACATACATATTTTGTCGTTAATAATTTTTATGCTACATTAACTTAGCTTTTCCCTCTTGTGAGGGAAAAGATACCTACAAGGAAAGTTAATGTATGCCTCACAGCATCTTCGCAGATCAGTGGGGAAATAAACCCAAATGCATTTTCCATGCAAAATGAAGCGCAAGAGGCTGACCTAACAACCCCTTACAGGCAAAGGGCAAGCCTCTCTGTAGGGAGCCACATATATAAATAAACACGGATGCATTCTATTGCCTTCGTTTGCATGTGAAGCAATGAAGCAGTGAGGGTTTTCAGGTTCTTCCTGTCTACGGAAAGCTATGACCAGAGGGGGATGTCCATCGCCTGCTTTGTTTCCCCCCTTCATAGATATGCTTTCTTTCCTCACTGAACTGGGCTGTTGTGTTATTTCATTTAATCCCTAGAAGAAACCTAAGAGATGGGGCACCTGGGTGGCTCAGTGGGTTAAAGCCTCTGCCTTCGACTCAGGTCATGATCCCAGGGTCCTGGGATCGAACCCCTTATCGGGCTCTCTGCTCTGTGGAGAGCCTGCTTTCTCCTCTCTCTCTGCCTGCCTCTCTGCCTACTTGTGATCTCTGTCAAATAAATAAATAAAATCTTTTAAAAAATAAGAAATAAAAAAAATAAAAGACCAGCCACAGACTGGGAGAATTAAAAAAAAAAAAAAGAAAGAAAGAAACCTAAGAGATAGTAAGTACTAATATTATCCCCATTTTAGATAAGAAAAAGATGGCTCAAAGAAGGCAAGTAATTTACCCAAGGCTGCCCAGCTAGTAAGTGGGATATTCTTCCCAAGTAGTCTAACCCCCCAGTCAACTCTCTCAGGCAGTATAGGGCCCAGCTGGGAAGGAGGTATCACACAGAATGACACAGGTCAGGGAAAGCCACACAGCAGCTCCTCCAAGGAGCTGGACATCAGTATGTACTTGCTATGTGCAAAACCAACCCGAATTTATAGTGACCTTTGAAACCTGCATTCAGGCAAAAGTTTATTATTTTCTTGCCAACTGAGACAGTTTCCAAATTCTGTACAAGCATATTTTATAATGAGAAAAACATTAATTTAGGGGGGCCTGGGTGGCTCAGTGGATTAAAGCCTCTGCCTTCGGCTCAGGTCATGATCTCGGGATCCTGGGATCAAACCCCGCATCAAGCTCTCTGCTAAGCAGGGAGCCTGCTTCACGGCACTCTCTCTGCCTGACTTTCTGACTACTTGTGATCTCTTTGTCAAATAAATAAATAAAATCTTTTTTAAAAATTGTAATTTAAAAAAAGAAAGAAAAACATTAATTTAACAGAAGCCAGCCCATTTAGAGGATATTTGCTACTTCACAGATCTTAAACAAGACAGATAGGTAGACAGACAAACTCAAAGCTGTATTCAAAAATTTTAAGTATTAATATAACCACAAAAATTGATACAACCTGCATATCCTACTCTGAAGTAAAAAGAAACTCCAGAACTAAATCTCACATAATCATAATGTTTAAATGTACGTTTTTCTGAAAGAGAAATTTTTTTTTGAAGATATTTATTTGACACAGAGAGAGCATAAGCAGTGGGAGCTGCAGAAGGAGGGGGGAAGCGCCCCCAGGGCTCAATCCCTGAGATCATGACCTGAGCTGAAGGCAAACACTTAACCGAGCCACCCAGGGGCCCCGTCAAAGAAGAGAAATTTAAAAGGCACAAATAAAATTTGTAATAGGTACCCTATTACCCAGCACATTGACACACTACTTACAATTATGAAAATGTTAATTTGAGATGAGGAACTTTTCAATATTCTGTTCATACAAATTATTATACCAACCACACTGACCAGACTGAATTTATGACAAGCATGTGAAATCCCTTAGGTAGAATCACAGTGTAAACTGAATAAAACCACAGAGCGGGTTAAGATAAAGCAGGCTCACGTGCCTTCTCTCCTAGCCAACGAGAGCACAGGTTGATTCCTCTGAAATAATGCATAGGGCACCATGGTGAACATGAGTTACTCTGAGGGATTAAAATTCCTTTATTTGTCTTATTTTTTAAGCAGGTTCCACATCCAGCATGGAGCCCAACACAGGACTTGAACTCACGACCCTAAGATCGAGACAAGAGCTGAGATCAAAAGCTGGACGCTTAACTGAGACACCCAAGAACCCCTAAAGTTCATTTTTTTTAATTCATTCCTTTTAATTACGTCATGTAAATGAGGTTATTACTCTAATAACAAAGTATGTTTTTTTTTTTTTTTTTTTGGACAGGAAGTTGGATTTACTGGTGGTGGGCATGAATATGACGGGAAGGGGTAGTGCCAAGGTTCTCATGAGTGCAGAGCCCTCCATTTGTCCAAGGGACCACGGTTAGGGATGTATTTGACCCCACAGCCATCTGGAATAAGCTGCTTTTCAGCCACCAGGTCTTCAAATTCATCTGTATTGAACTTAGTAAAGCCCCACTTCTTGGAGATGTGTATCTTCTGGTGGCCAGGGAACTTGAACTTGGCCCTGCATAGGGTCTCAATCACATGCTCCTTGTTCTACAGCTTGGTATGGATGGACATGATGACTTGGCCAATGTGGACCCTGGCTACTGTGCCCTGGGGCTTTCCAAAGGCACCCCGCATACCTGTCTGCAGCCTAAATTGGAGATAGCCATGTGGTCAGACCCCAGCATCCACCAAAAGGGTTGTCTCCAAGGTCCCTTAGGGCAACCCGTACAATCAACAGGCTGCATACACTACTGAGGAGCCTACTGTTTGCAGTCATGGCACACTAGGCGCCCATAGACAAAGAGCAGAGCCGGCTTAATTGGCTGCATTAAGTATGGATTTCTACGATCAGTAATAGTACTGTTCAGTGACAGGGACAACATTTACTTATTCTTGGCACCAGGAGATCCCAGTAGCAATCCAGTCCGAGCACGCTGTCCTCAGTTGTTCCCTTAATTAAATTCCTGCTTTAATAATGCAGTTCTAATTTGAAAAGGATCCTAAGAAAAGCTAGGCCACAAAAGGCTAATTAGACCATGTTTTCTGACACTTAGTCAATCATTGAAACAGAATAGGCATGTAAAGGAGTTCTCTGAAATGCCTTTCTCTTTCTTTCTAAGTCACTGTATTGTCAATTATTGGTGAGACTGAGTATTTTTTCCCAAATAATTACCCAGATCTCCCATTTCTTTCTTCTGTTCCTTTCCCCCCACTTTTTCCTATTTGAGCTGGGTTTCTATCTCTTGTAACTGAAAGTGTTCTCCTAATGCAATTTGCTATAGTTCCTGAATATATTAAGAACAATCCCTTTTTGTCTATCATCAATGTTGCAAGTCATTTTCCCAATTTATTTCTTTCAACATTACTATGCTGACCTCTGATACAAAAAAAGGTGTATGTAGGACTTGTTGGTATGTATATTTTCATAGGATTCAAATCATTTCTTGCATTGTTGTCTCTTGGCCTTAATGTCATGGAATGCCTTTGTTTAAATACCCTTATTTCTAATTCCACTTTCCCTTATTATCTCTTTGATTTGGTTCTTTTCCATAAAACTTGGGAGCTAGCTAGATAACTACTTGATTCATGTTCCCATCTTACTTCCTTAGTCATAAGTCATTGTTTTCGTCTCAAGTTTCTCTCATTTTTGGCCACATTCCTGGCACCGCAGTTTATGAAAACAAACACTATCTGGGGTCTATTCTCACTGTTAGGTCTAGAGAACTATTTTCAGATGGATCTGCAGCAACACTATGAGCTACTGACCCAAAATACGAAGCTCTGAATGCCCACGGGGGCAAAGAGAAAACACAGGTTCAGCAAGTCCCTACTATAGGGTTCCCACGTTCTGAGACTGAAAAGCTTGGGGAGGAGAACGCAATTGGGCACTAGTTTTATTACATTAAAACAGAAGAAAGGTTCTAATTAATACACTTTTTGTTATGTGTGGGGCAACTGTTTACAACTTTTTATTGAAGCAGATTCAGATGGAAGAGTTTTTTGGTAACCTCGCTAATTTACAACTTTGTTCTTTTTAATTTTTTTTTTTTAGGGTTTTTTTATTTCACAGACAGAGATCACAAGTAGACAGAGAGACAGACAGAGAGAGGGGGGAAGCAGGCTCCCTGCTGAGCAGAGAGCCTGATGTGGGGCTTGATCCCAGGACCCTGAGATCATGATCTGATCATGACCTGAGCCAAAGGCAGAGGCTTAACCCACTGAGCTACCCAGGAACCCCTACAAAGTTCTTCTTCCTTTTTTTTTTTTTTTTTTTTAAGATTTATTTATTTATTTATTTATTTATTTGAGAGAGAATGAGTGAGAGAGCATGAAGAGAGGAGGTGGTCAGAGTGAGAAGCAGACTCCCCAAAGAGCTGGGAGCCCAATGCGGGACTCGATCCTGGAAGTCCGGGATCATGACCTGAGCCGAAGGCAGTTGCCCAACCAGCTGAGCCACCCAGGTGCCCCCCCTACAACGTTATTCTTAAACTCAGCATTTATTTCCTGAATACTCAACAGGTGTGTAATATGAAATGAACACCATTAAGGACATAATCTAGAGAACCTCTAGATTCCTCTTCTGATGCTCAGCATCTACTGGAGAGGGAGAGAAGAATTCAAGAAGAGGTAACTGACGAAGACCTAACTAAGGGAGGTCAGAGGGCACAGTATTATTTTCAGAAAAGGGGAATAAAGAATTTATTGGAGGACATGATTATTTGGAAGGGTTTTCTTCCTCATACTTTTTTATTGAGATTTAATTCACATGCCATAAAAATTACTCTTTAAATAAAAATTACTCTTTAAAAAAAATTACTCTTTATAGTTCAGTGAGTTTTTGGTAGAATCACAAAGCTGCACAGCTCATCACCACTAATTCCAGAATATTTTCACTCTCCCAAAAAAATCCCCCATACCCTCAGCAGTCACTCCCCATTCCCCCTTCCTCCAGCCCCTGGCAGTTACTCATCTACTTTCCATCTCTATAGACCTGCCCATTCCGTACATCTCATATAAACGGAATCAAATAATATGTGGCTTTTGTGTCTCTGTGTCTGGCATAACGTTTGCAAGGTTTACCCATGTTGTCAGGCCCTAGGAATTAAAATAAGCTATAAAAGGTTAGGAAGGATTAGTTATTTCAATAACTTGCTTAAACTGTCAAGTTCAGAGACTCTCTCTTAACCCCCTATTCTCTAAGATAAGGAAATTAGCTCTTGCCAGCTATATGCTTATACTGAGATATATACGGACATAATTAAGTCTCTATATAAAAATAGAACCAAGGCACCTGGCTGACTCAGTCAGTAGAGCAAGTGACTCTTGATCTCGGGGATATAAGATTGAGTCCCACATTGGCTATACAGTTTACTTAAAAATGAAATCTTTAAAAAAAAAATGAGAAAGAAAAACTAATAAACAGCATTTACATTTTTTTGGTGTGATTATGTTCACCGGAGAACCAAGATACCTATGTGTCTACACCACGTGGTGAAGAAAGCAAAAGAACTTTATTTTTAAACTTTTGAAGACATTTAATGAAAAAACATGAATGATCTATAGATTTAATGCAATCCCTATTAAACTACAAATTTTTCACAGACCTAGGAAAAAAACAACCCTAAAATTTATATGGAACCACAAAAGATCCCAAATAGCCAAAGCAATCTTGAGAAAGAAAAACCAAGCTGGAGGCATCACCATTCCAGTCTTCAAATTATACTACAAAATATAGCACTGGTACAACCACAGACCCATAGATCAACAGAACAGAATAGAAAACCCAGAAATAAACCCACAATTATATGGTCAATTAATCTTCAACAAAGCAGAAAAGAATATCTAATGGAAAAAAGACAGTCTCTTCAACAAATGGTGTTGGGAACACTGGACAGCTACATGCAAAAGAATGAAACTGGACCACTTTCTTACACCATACGCAAAGATAAACTCAAAATGGATCAGGAGCTAAATGTGAAACCTGAAACCATAAAAATCCTTGAGGAGAACACCGGCAGTAATTTCTCTGTCATCGGCTGTAGCAACGGTTTTTCTAGATACATCTCCTGAGGTAAGGGAAGCAAAAGATAAACTACTGGGACTATGTCAAAATAAAAAGTTTCTGCACAGTGCAACAAGAACTAAACTAAAAACAGGAGAAGGGATCTGCAAATCACATATTCGATAAAGAATTAGTATCTTAGGGGCGCCTGGGTGGCTCAGTGGGTTAAAGCCTCTGCCTTAGGCTCAGGTCATGATCCCAGGGTCCTGGGATCGAGCCCTGCATTGGGCTCTCTGCTCAGCGGGGAGCCTGCTTCCTCCTCTCTCATCCTGCCTCTCTGCCTACTTGTAATCTGTCTGTCAAATAAATAAATAAACAAAATCTTTAAAAAAAAATTAGTATCTTAAAAAAGGAACTTATCAAACTAAACATCCAAAAAACAAGTAATCCAATTAAAATATGGGCAACAACATGAACAGACATTTCCCCAAAGACATCCAGATGGCCAACAGACACATGAAAAGATGCTCAACGTGACTCATCATCAGGGAAATGCAATCAAAACCAGAGTGAGATACCACCTCACACCAGTCAGAATAGCTAAAATCAACAACATATGGACCAACAAGTGTTGGTGAGGAAACCCTCATGCACTGCTGGTGGGGATGCGAACTGGTGCAGCCACTGAGGAAACCAGTATGGAGGTTCTTCAAAGTTAAAAACAGAACTCCCCTGAGATCCAGTAATGGCACTACTGGGTGTTTACCCCAAAAGCACAAAAAATAATTCAAAGGGATATATGCACCCCTATGTTTACCTACATTACCTACAATAGCCAAATTGTGGAAGCAGCCAAGTGTCCATCAACTGATGAATGGATAAAGACAATTTGGCATATATACAATGGAGTATTACTCAACGAGAAAGAGTTAATATCTTGCCTGTTTACAGCAACATGGATGGAGCCAGAAAGTATAATGCTAAATGAAATAAGTCAGTTACAGAAAGAAAAATACCATATGACTTCACTCACATGTGGAGTTAAGAAACAAAACAAATGGGCAAAGGAAAACAGAGAGAGAGAGAGAGAGAGAGAGAAACCCAGAAACGGACTCTGAACTGTAGTGAAGAAACTGATGGTTACGAGGGGAAGAGGATGAGGAAATGGGTTAAACAGGTGATGGGGATTAAGGAGGACACTTGTAATGAGCACTGGGTATTGTATGGATATTGTAACACTGTATGTTCAATACTGGAATTAAAATTTAAAAAATAAAAAAATAGAAACATGTACAATCTATACATATAGGAAAAGTTTTGGAAACATTACTCATGGGACACTGAAGAAGATCTGTATTAACTAGTAAGTTGTAACCAGACATTTTTTTAATTTACTAACTTGTTTTTAGACAACATGTAAACCTGGGCGGGAGTGGGGCAAAGGGAGAGAGAAAATCTTAAGCAGGCTCCACATCCAGTGTGGAGCGCAACACAGGGCTCCATCTCATAACCCTGAGATCATGACCTGAGCTAAAAATCGAAGAGTCAGATACTAATCAAGTGAGCCACGCAGGTGCCCCTGTAATCAGATTTTTTTTTTTGAGATTTTATTTATTTGACAGAGAGGGACACAGTGAAAGAGGGCACACAAGCAGTGGGGGTCGGAGAGGGAGAAGCAGGCTCTCCGCTGAGAGGGAGCTTGATGCAGGGCTCGAGCCCAAGACCCTGGGATCATGACCTGAGCCAAAGGCAGACGCTTAACGACTGAGCCACCCAGGCGCCCTTGTAATCAGGTATTTTAAAAAGTGTTACATATCTCTGTAAATT